AAGATAAGTCATAGGAAAATAACCCATCCCACAACCTGCTTCAGATGCCCAATCTTTCACAATGTCCTCTTCCAAATTAACTCCAAACAGTTTACTCTTAGACAAATTAAGGTGAACCCCTGAAATTAGACTAAACACCCTCAAAACTCTCTTTATATTGAGAATTTGAGTTGAAGAATCTCTGCAGAATAAAATAAGATCGTCTGCAAACTGTAAATGAGTCAAATTAAATGGATTATCCTCCTTACCGATTCTAAACCCTTCAAAAAGACCTAGATTCGCAGCCTTACACAGCATTAAATTCAAGAGTTCCCCAACTATGTTAAACAACAAAAGGGACAAACTACAACCTTGCCTCAACCCCTTGCCCATCTGAAATTCTGCTGTTGGAGAACCATTAATGAGAACTGAAATTGAAGCAGAAGAAATACAATACCGAATCCAAGAAATCCATTTCTCCCCAAACCCCATGATCTTCAATAATCTCAAAATAATTGGCCATTCGACTGAGTCATAAGCTCTACGAAAAGCAATCTTGAAGACAACTCCTTACCTTCCTTTTTTCCTCCAAAAGTCTATGGATTCATTGGCCATAAAAGCACAATCAAACAGCTGCCTACCAGGGATAAATGCAAACTGAGAGGGGCTAATAAGATCTTTAATAACTGAAACCAGCCTTTTCGATAAGATTATGGAAATAATTTTGTATAAGGTACCAACTAGGCTAATTGGTCTATAATCTTCAATACCTTCTGGATTAAGTCTCTTGGGAATCAATGTAATAAAAGCATGATTGACCCCATGCTCCCAACTCCTCCCTCTATGAAAATCATTCACAAACTTCATAAGATGATCCTTCAAGAAATGCCAGAATTTCTTAAAAAAGCCCATCGTGAAACCATCTGGACTCGGGGCTTTGGCACTGTCCGAGTGAAAAACTGCTTCCCACACTTCTTGTTCTGAAAATTTGACCTCCATACAATTCTTTTGCTCCTATGTTAATTTCATGAAATTGAAATTGATTTCTTCCACCTCTAATGTATCTTTAGAATTGTAATTCTTCTTAAAATAATCATAAACAAAGGCCTTCAGCTGATCCGGGTCTGAACACTCTTCATCAGCAACTTTCAATGACGAAATAGAATTTATTCTGTTTCTATTCAATGTTGTTAAGTGAAAAAACCTCGTGTTCCTATCCCCATCCTTGCTCCATTTCAATCTTGATCTCTGTAGCCAAATACTCTCTTCTCTTCTGTGCAGCTTCCACAATTCGTGTCTAGACATTATCAGCATGTCCCTTTCTTGCATTGAAATTCCACCGTTTTGTAGCTTCAGTTCCAAACCATTAATCTTACCTTCTAATTCTGATATCCCTTCAGATATCCCACTTAAATTCCTATTAGGCCACTTCTTGATCTGCTGTTTTGTTCCTCGAAGTAAAGAAAACAGACCCCTTCTACCATTGTCCATCATAGGGTTAGACAAAGACTTTTCAACCAATCCAGCAAACCCGTCTTCCTCTAACAGGTAATTGTAAAATCTAAAAGGCTTCGGTCCCCAATTGTTGCATTCTTCTGCTAACACTACCGGATTGTAATCCGAGAGGGATTTGGGTAGCATTTTCTGTATCACTTTTGGAAATTTGTTAAGGAAATAACTGCTAATTATAAACCTGACAAGCCTTACCCAAGTGGGATAATCTCTATTGTTGCACCAAGTAAATCTTCCACCAACTAACTGAAGATCCATAAGATTAGTGTGTTGTACAAAGTATCTAAACAAATCCATGCAATGCCAATTTTGAGATACTCCACATTTCTCCTCGGTATCTAAATATGCATTAAAATCTCCCCCTATATAAACTGGCTGATTTAGACCTTGAACAAAGCACAACAATTCCCTGAAAAACTCCACTTTATCCGCCTCTACTGATGGACCATATACATTTATGATAACACACTCAAAGTTAAGCAACTTGAACTTCCCTGACAACGCCATGAATCTGTTCTGGATATGTTCTGCTGTGACCTCAAAAATGTTTTCATCCCACATAAATAACTGTCCACCAGCCGAGCCCTCGGCAGGATTAAAGCTACCACCTTTCAAAAGATTACCCCCTAACTTCCTCCATAGACCTGAATGGCAAACATTCAGCTTTGTCTCCTGTAGTAAAAGAATAATCGGCTTCTCTCTATTAACAAGTCTGGGCACTGCTTTGGTTTTCTCTTCTTCCTAGACCCCTAACGTTCCATGTTATTATTTTAATCTTTGACATTAGAAATAACTGTCATACATACCAACACAAGCCAAAAACAATCATACTCCCCGGGAAGACCCCTTCATCTCCATCTTAAATATCTCTCCTCTAATAGATGCTGACCCCCTTTAAAAGTAATTCCCAACAAATTGCAGATCTCTCTAGTTGCAGCAGCCTCATTCCTAGCTTTAACTAAAAGTTGAGAAGACTGAGATGACTCCCTATCTTGATCCACCGAATCCTTGACCATCCTTCTAACAACCCTTCTATAGACTCTGTTATAAAAACTGATAGCCACTTCACTATCTGAGCACACACTCCTTGAGCGATGAGGAACTATTCTCAATATCCTCTGATTCATCTTCTTTTTGGTAAGGAGTATCCTCTGATTCTTAAGACTTTTAGATCGAGAACTACACTTCACATGATTGATAACTGGAACTGGGTGATCCTCCTTTGCTAAAATTTGACCCACCCTCATCAGTTTTGAAGTACTTCCCTCGTGATTCTCATAATTCATGATCCTTACACTTGGAATTGATACACTTCCCTCATTTTGACTGCATTGCTTATCCTCCATAACCTTCTTCTTCTTCTTTAGTCCATCCACTTGATCATCTGACCTTATATCCCTTTCTGCATACTTATGAGTCTGAAAGCTACATACATGATCTCCATTCAAACTCCTCTGGCCAGCAGACTGAACTATCTCCAATTCGACACCCTATTCACTTGGAACCACTTCCATCTCCCCCTGCATATTCTCCTTAATCACCCCAGCCTCTCCCTCATCAACATTCAAGGAATTTTCAGAATAGGGATTGGGTTGTAGAATAAACCTATTCCCAACCCATTTTATATTGTAAGCATGCCTATTAGGAATCAGTTTCTTAATTGGAGAACCAACTACCTCATTATCCTCTGACTGACCAAAGTCAACTTGATCATTTGAACCCCTCAATCCCAGGCCCACATGACTTCCCATCTGGTTAGTCCTATTTTCCAAGAAACTTGATAGCCCACAATTTGAATTTTCTGCTGTTGACTTACCCGATGGGACTTGTCCCCTACAAACTCCATTCACACCACTGTTCTGCCCATTATTCAGCCAAGATATGACTTTGAATGTACTATCGTCTGAGAACTCATCCCCATCTACTTCCAAAGAAGGACATCTCCCAACCCTTTCCCTAGACAAGACATAACCACTGTTACATTATTTTGAAATTTTCTCCACCATCTTCCTCCCCACTTCTTCTGGTTTTTTCAGAACAGAACCCATCGAAATCTTAACTTTGAAGGATCTGCCATAAGAACCAATTGTAACTATCTCAGGTACATCATAAGGACTTTCCACCCTTAGCAAAACTTTCGCCACCGATAGGTCCGATCTGGTCACTGATTCCTCCTTAAAACAAATAAAAACACCCCACTTCCCAGAAAGTTTCTTCACGAATGACTCATTCCAACATAACAAAGGCAATCCATACAACTCTATTTGACAAAGAGTCATCGGAACTCCATCCTTGTTCAATACTGGTGCCAACCAGTCTAAGCACAAGAGCAGCTCTTTCTTCTTATTCATCCATACGTGAGAGAACTCCTCAACTGAATTGAATGTAATGATGCACTCATTCCATACGTACCCCCATCTAGCAATCTGAACTTCCACCCCCTCCATCTCCAAAGCTTCCTTTAACGAAACGAGATTAAAAGAAGGTTTCATTATCCCTGTTAATGATCTCTTCACCCATTCTGAGTTGTCTGATGGAATATGCATCTCCCAAATGTTCCTCACAGCAGGAGCATTCTTCTTAACACCCTCCAAGTTACATTCAGAAATTACTACATCCTTATATGATCTGGTGTCTCTCATACCTCTACCCGACTCAAACTTCCTTCCAGTATTTGAAATATCCCTTCCCCCTGACTTGATCTCCACCATTCTCTTCCCCTTATCCTCTTCCCTCCTCTTATCCTTCTGATACATAGCAACCCCAACAGAAATTCTCTTCCCATCAAACCACTTCCCATTCACAAACTGGATTGCTTTCTTCCTACTTTCCTCCTCAGCAAATTGGACAAAAGCAAACGTCGAGGACTTATAATTAGATTTATCTAAAAATCTTGGAATGAAAATTCTCAGAATCTGACCTTCAGGACTAAAAAAATCCCTTAACACACGTCTAGAGACCCTTTTACTAAGATTATCAATGAACACAGTCCATTCCTCCACAGAAGAAATGGATTTGTTCGAATTTTCTCTAATTCTCTCTCTTCCTAGCGCACTCATTCTCTCTCTTTCCCGTTGCAAGTTAATATTATTATATCTAGGGCCTCAATGAAGACAACTTTTCCTAAGCCAAAACTGAACATGTTATAGGGTCAAGATATTAAATTTTAATCTATAATTAACAACAAAGATCTCACTCTGCAAGATGGATTCACATGGTAAAATGCAAGAGAGCAAATTAGCATCCTCATTTCGTAACATAATCCAATAGATAATTTAAAAAAGAAAAAAATCTGAAGTCTTACAAAAGAAAGAACCAAAAAGGGGGGTTCTGTCACACAGACATATAGTTAACACAATGTCTACAAAAATGGGGATGGGGGTAGAAATCTTCTCACCACAAGTTTGAAAAAGATGGAATGAAAGTCTTGGAATTAGAGAATTTAATCTTACACTGCAACTTCTAAGATCAGCTTTCACATAATAATAGTAGTAAGAAATGATACTTACAGCTGTGTACTGAACCAAAGACATCAATTGTTTCATTATTGTCTCTGCTTCATCCTTCAATTGCTTTTCGAGTGTAAGCTCAAAACCCAACCTAAAAATTGTAAAAGACGATGAATTAAATATTTTAGAAGCTTGCACTAATTTAGTAAATAACACTTAAAAAGAGTGCAATAATCTGCAAAATTACTTTTCAAAATAACGATCTAAATTGTGCCACTGAGGATCTTTACAACGATTGCCAAAACGTACCACCTCTCCAGAAAAAACTTTTAACTCTTCCCTGTCGAAAATGGATAAAAAATTGTTCAACAGTTTCATATGCTTTGATAACCTAACAACCATTTGAGGATAATAACGAATTGTATAAAAACAAAATCATTTTCAAAGCATCATGTCATTTTCACCTCTTATCAGCAGCTGCAATTCTCAGGAGTTCATCCATATCTCTTAATATCAAATTTTGCACACCTTCTGATGGAAGGACCACCTCTTTTAAATGTCTGATGTTCTCCTCAGAAAGTGATTGCACCAGATTGCCACCTTTAACAATTGTATTTGCCACTTCAAAAGCTAGAATTGATATTTTAGTCCCTTTTGTTGTTACCCCAAAGGTAAAGCCACTACTGAGGTTCAAATTCGTCATGCTACTACCAAGGGTGTCCAAAACTTCCACTGCCTTTCCAAGCCCAACAGTACCAGCTCTACCTAAAAGAGAGCTTACCTCAGAAACCTGCAAAAAGTAAGCAACAAGTGGATCTTTTCAATACTCATGAAGTGTGTTTGGTGGACGGTATCAAATAAACTTCGCAACAACCCAGTAAACGAAACAAACTAATAATAGTAAAACAAGTAACCTTCTCTGCTCTAACAGTAGGCAGAATATAACCAGTAACTATCATGCTAGGAATCACATTATTATAATATTATAACAATAATTTTGACCTGACTTCTCTCTACAAACATGAAATTCAGAACAGCAGAAAAACATTATGTATAAAACAAAATCTCAATCACGGTAAGACCCATGGTTCAGGGCAGACCTATATTTCTAACAGTCTTGCATATTTCCCTTTTGTTCCCAACAAAGAATAAAATTCTCAATCTCAATCCCAGCAAATGAAAAATATCTTAGCTATATTCACTACTCCACCCATTCTTAAAATATTTCCAGAGAAAAAGAGCAGTTGATGATGAAAAGATAAACTTCCAAACACTCATGAATATAAATCTTAAACACATTCTACATCAGTATCCTTCCAAGTAAGGAAATCTGACTCTAAATGGATAACAACAACGATAGCCAGACCTAGTTCAGCATCTATAAACTATCGCATTAAGTATAAACCAATCAAAGAATGGAGTCTAAGCCAATACAATAATGCACACGAAGCACACAGAAAATTGGTACTAAAATTTTTTTAAGGACACCGTAGAATTTGAGCTTACCTTTGCAACAGTAGCCTGCTTAGATTTTGTTGATCTAGATTTATCTGATAGTGCCCCTGACAAACGAGGAGTTCCATCATTGATATCATCTGCACTTGTACCATATGGAGCTGCATTGACCTCTGGAAAGGAAAATGGTTCTCCTGACTCCTTGTCTACACTATCTTCAATGGCAGGGGGAGTTGATTTGACATTAATCTTAGCAGGCAGTTCACGGGTCTGAAAATCTAATCCAGACCCACGACCAAAATGGCCATTAACATGTGGGAAGCCTCCACTGGGGACATCATCTACAGTGGATCTCCTCGAGCAAAGCCCACCCATTTGTGCTTATTACCGCAAATTTTATACTTCAGTGTATAACGAAATTTGCCATGAAAGACCAAGAAGCTCGAGGATGTACAAGATGAAAGACTGTTCCCTTATTTTAACAAAACAGTCATAAAATTTAAATAGAAAATTGCTACTTCTCACAAAACCAATAGGGCCTCTAGCTACTTATTGAATCAAAGCAGTCTAAACCTAAAGATATAAATCCATGTCCGAGCAATGCATTCAGAGTACCAATTTTTATTCAAACTGAAGCACCAGTCCGTTAACACCAAGACGCACCAAACTGTAAAACAACAATAACAGGGGGAAAACCATTAAAACAGATGCCAAATAATGCAGTAATGAATGAACAAAACCCAACTCAAAGAATCTCTAGAGGCATGCAAAAGACAAATTAGGAACATAAAAGGTAAAAGGATTTGGAATATACCGACTAAAACAAAGAATCCCCAGAAAGGATCCAAACACCCAATTAGAAGAAAAAATAAAGAACTTTGAGATAAAAAAAAATTAACCAAAATAACCCAAAAAAAACATGAGCTTAATTAGATACAGGGTTGGATCTGCGAAGAGAGAAAAATCAAAAGAGATGAAGGGTTCTGTTGTTCACCAACTGACAGGCAAACTTTACATTGGAAAATAGAGTAAATAAAAAGAAAAAAAATAAATGATGCGATTTTAAAAATGAGGAGATCAGTAACTGCGTAGCAAAAACAAGAGAAGACTCTAAATTAGAAAGGGAAATAGAAGGATGAGAAAGTTACAGAGAGAGAAGGAAAAAAACTTGAGTTCCATACGGAGGCTGTCAGAGTTGGAGCCAGGAGCAGCTGCCTTCCTTCTGAAGTTGCTTCTAACGCCAAACAAACAGTCTACCCTTTTTCCTTCTCTCAATCATAGAAAGGGAAGAGAAATATGTAAGCAGCGTAATTTAGGAAATGGTCAAAGCAAAATCTCTCTCCTCTCAAAAACAAAATAAAATATAAAAGCATATTTTTCTTAGGTTTCTTTTCAATGCTTACCTTTTTTTTCATATTATTATTCGTTTAAGTTATAATTTTAGAGGTAAATTACACGGGAGACCATTAAATTATGGTCATAAATTGATCTTATTATCAAATTATTTTTTGTTTCAATTCGACCACCAAACTTTTTAATTAAATCAATCAGACCACTATGTGTTATTAAAAATAGCATAATTATATATTTGATCCTTAATATTTACATATTCTATCAATTTAGTCATTATTTTAATTCAATTAAATAAATTTAACTATCCAATTAGAACATAACATGTGCCAATACATGATTGGAAGGTATTCATAATGACACGTGTCACCACCCGATTGAAATGGAAAATTGAACAACCAATTTGCACCCCAAGGGATTAGAACCTGCATCTTTGGGGGAGAGTAGCCAAATGACCAAACCGTTGGGCCAAAGCTTTCCAATGGTTCTAACTTACAACAATTTGTATTTGGCTTGTACTGTTAAATTATTTGGTTAAATAAATTTCAGTTTGATTAATGGTTAAGGAAAAAAATTTGCTTAATTCGATTCGGTTAATAATTTTCAAATAAATTTTGGTTCGATTAACGGTTAAGAAAAAATTATTTTATTTGAAAATTATTATCCGAATCGAATTAACTGAATTTTTTTCTGTAACCATTAATCAAACTGAAATTATTTGACCGTTAATTGAACTAAAATTTATTTGAAAATTATTAATCGAACCAAATTAACTGAATTTTTTTTCTTTAACATTAATCAAACCGAAATTATTTGACTGTTAATCGAACCAAAATTATTTGACCGTTAATCGAACCAAAATTTATTTAAAATTTATTAACCGAATTTTTTTTCTTTAACCATTAATCGAACCGAAATTATTTGACCGTTAATCGAACTGGAATTTATTTGAAAATTATTAACCAAAATTTTTTATTTAACCATTAATCGAACCAAAATTATTTGACCATTAATCGAACCCAAATTTATTTTATTCGGCTAATAATTTTCAAATAAATTTCGATTCGATTAACGGTCAAATAATTTTGGTTCGATTAATGGTTAAAGAAAAAAAATCGATTGATTTGGTTTGGTTCGATTAACGGTTAAATAATTTTGGTTCGATTAATGGTTAAAGAAAAAAAATTGGTTAATAATTTTCAAATAAATTTCGGTTCGATTAACGGTCAAATAATTTCGGTTCGATTAATGTTAAAGAAAAAAAATCTGTTATTTTTCAAATAAATTTCAGTTCGATTAACGGTCAAATAATTTCGGTTTCTATTAATGTTAAAGAAAAAAAATTCGGTTAATTTGGTTCGGTTAATAATTTTCAAATAAATTTCGGTTCGGTTAACGGTTAAAGAAAAAATAATTTATTTAAGCAGATAATTTTTTTAATTTTTTATAATTAACAAACTTTTACAAGTCAAATACAAATTGTTGTAAATTAAAACCATTAGAGAGTTTTGGCCCAGCGATTTGGGCATCTAGCTACTCTCCCCCAAAGGCACAGGTTCGAATCCCTTTGGGCGCAAATTGGTTTGTTCAATTTTCCATTTCAATCGGGTGGTAACACGTGTCACCACCTGATTGGTTAAAAAAATTAATTAAATAATTTAAAATTCATAAATAAAACCTTCCAATCATGTATTGACACGTGTCATGTTCTAATTGGATAGTTAAATTTATTTAATTGAATTAAAATAGTGACTAAATTGATAGAATATGTAAATATTAAGGACCAAATATAAAATTATGTTATTTTTATTAACGGACACGTCAACAAGTCCGTCTTTTTTAACGGAGAGTGGTCTGATTGATTCAATTAAAAAGTTTGGTGGTCGAATTGAGACAAAAAATAATTCGGTGGCAAGATCGATTTATGACCATAGTTTGGTGGTCTCCCGTGTAGTTTACCTTAATTTTAGTCTCTTTCTTTAATATCTATATCATAATTTGATAGAAAAAATAATATAATTATTAATATTCAATTTATTTATTAATTAGTTTATAAATAATACAAAGTTTATTACTGAAAAATCTATAAATCTAAAAGACTAATATAATTAAAATACTATATGAATAAAATTAATCAAAGTGTATAAAAAAAATCAATCAAAATCATTTAAAAAAAAGAAAATTATCATCAAATGAGTATGATCATTTAAATGTGTTGAGACTAAGAAAGTTATTGTTATCTTTTAAGATCTTAAATTCGAGTAACGCGTATGTATAGATATTATCTTTCGATAGATATTATCTTTCAACTTTCTTCTTAAATTCTAAGAGAACAAGTTCTCTGATTCTTCTCTCTATTTTCAAAAGAACAGGGAAGAGAATGAAGCTTGTAGATGGAAAATTATTCTTTCTATTTATCTTTGCATAAAAATAAACCTAGGCGTCATGTTTTCAAGAGCTCAATGTGTGATGGTCAAATCCCACATTGTTTTTTCCCTTTTACATTTGTCTTTAAAAATAATGTACTTTGTACACTTATTATTGCACCTACCTATCCCATAAAAATTGTCCATTTTTTGTCAATTTTTTAAATTTTAACTAATTATTATTTAAAATTTATAATTGATAAAAAATATGTAAATATATATATTTTAAAAACAATTAATCAAGTAGTTTCCAAATATATATTTTATAAAATTTAATTATTTAAAATAATCAATGTCAAAGTTTAAAAAATTGACTTTTTAAAAGTTAATAAGAGACAATTTTTATGGGATGGAGGGATAAATTCAGTATAGGTTTTAATCATCACTATTAAATATAGAGGCCTTTCTAAATAATAATTATATTATTAAATTATTTAAAAAATAAAATTTATTGGATCTATTGAGTAGTTTTAATGATAAAAAGAGTATTATTCTTTCTAAAAATTTGAATTTAAACAAATGTGTTTGCAGAGTTTTTGTATGTTATCAATATATTAAGAAAATATTTAAAAATATATTATATTATATCAATAGATCGGATATCAGTGATTAATTCAAAAAATATATATTATCTTATAATCAATCCCAAACTAATAAAAAACTATCAATCTTGACAAGTGGTTGACCAAATTCAAGTAGGGATGGGCACAGTTTTTTGGCATGTCAATTTTTTGGCCACCCGACTTTGACTAAAAAAATGTATATCTAAAATTCGACCCCGCCCAGAAAATTTTAGTTTTTTTCCATCCTAATCTGCCCTGATTTTTAGATTGGAACCCCAACTTCGACCTGATTTGAATATATTAATATTTTAAAATAATTAAAATAATATATTTTATAATAATATATTTATAATTATTTATTATATTATAAACGTTTAAATTAATATATTTATAATAATTTTAATATTTTAATAATTAAATAATATATTTAATAATGTAATAATAAAAATTCTTAAAATATTAAATATAATATATATACACAAATAAAAATTAATCGGGTAAGATCGAGCAAGTGATTTTTCACCTTAAACCCAATCTTAGCCCACCCCAAAGTTACATACTCTACAAGCTACCCCGCCCCAAACCTTGAAATCTAAAAAAAGCCCTTATAAGATAGGGTCGAGTCGAGACCCGTTAAATTCATGTATTTTGATCATCCTAAATTCAAGCATAAAGTAGTTATAAACATTACATATACTTTTGATATTTATCCCAATAAAAAAACTACTAGCAACTTGAAATGAATTAAAATAATAAAACTATGAAGAAACTAACGAGGTATTGGATCTTTAGTGTCTAAATTTGGAGTTGTATCATGTATAAATTTAGGGTAAATTATACACTTACTCGTCAAACTTTATTCTCTCTCCTATTTCAATCAATGAACTTTAAACATTAAACTTTTTTAGTCACTCGACCGTTAAATTTCCAACGGTGTTATGACATGGATTAAATAAATCTTTTTAGTCATTAAAAATATATAAAAAATAAAATAATTAAAAAATAAGATAATAATTATTACCCTTTCCCTATTAGAAAACTTCCCAACCCACAAACAAAGGTCATCAGCACACCCTATCAACTTTTCGATGAAGGCTAGCCACACCGGTAACTACCACTACTCAGTAAATATAACTATTTTGGCAACAATCAAACAACCACAGTTACTCATAATCTAACTTATGTTAGTTCAATAGTCTTTAATATATAAATCCCAACCTCAAACCTAAATCATAATCCTTGATCTAAATCCTAACCCCCAACAATCACCATTTGCATCCCAATCCCAAAATCTCATTGATTACCCCAAATCCCAAACCCCAAACTCTATTAACCTTGAATAATAATGGTTTTAACAAGGAGAAACGAGAGGCTGAAGAGAATAAAAGGAAAGACTATGACAAAATCAAAGAGTGGGCACCATACTAGGCTTGGAGTAACCATTGAATCTTCAAATAGAATGCAATCAAAGAAGCTCAAAAGCTTGAAGAAATTGGTGTATGTTTGCTGCTTATTTCATAGAGAGGAATAAGATTCGACTCTCAAGTATTCACTCCTAACAATTAGTAAGACCGAAGATAAGAATAATGGTTGAATGAATTTTGTGTTTATGTTTTCAATTGATCTTACAGATAAAGTGTTTTTGTTTGATGAATATGAATATGTAGGATGTGATATTTTGGGTTTAGGGGTGGTCAGTGACGATGGTGGTTCTAAAAAGGGCGATGAAGATAATAGTTAGAGAATGAGGATATGGGGTGGTGTACCCTAAATCTCGGGTTAGTAGTTAAGGTTGACCCGAGATCCATAAATATAGCCCAAAGGATTTATTAGAATAGTGTAGATCTATTTAAGTTGGAATTGGGCTTGGGTTAGGCGCAAGTGATAAGTTCTGGGATGCTCTTATAAAGTAATAAAAGGAATAAGACCTAAAGTGTAATTTACCCATTTTTTAAATCAAGAGCTAAAACACACTTATTTTCTATTATAT